ACACAGGGATGGGCTGAGCCCTCTGTAGGGATGTGGCTGTGTATATAAACGCAGCTAGATTTTGAATCGTATAGCACTATGTGATCACATGTTGTTTGTTGTATGCAGCGCTGTGTAAATGTAAAATGGCTTAATAATTCTTCTCTTGCTGTTTTGGATTAATTTGTATCTTTACGCTGTATGTTTTCTTTTGCTTGCTTCCTCCTTTCACCTTCCCAAACGTCTCCTCGGAGCAAACTTCCGTGATTCTTATTGTTCTGCTTGTTTTCATTCTCCTTCTTGGGTAAATGTATTTTTTTTTCCCAAGTGTGGTTTCCTAGAGCTCTGCGAAATGCTCTTTCTCTGCTGCATTTTGAAGTATTAGTTGCAAAAGAAAGGGGAGAGAGTCCTAATTCAGGTGCATTTCTTCCTTCATCTATTTTTCTTTTCAAAAGTGACTAAAGCCACAAATAAATAATGCTAATTTTTGCTACCATCTGTGAATGCAGGACCAAGCTGTTTCAGAGTGGCATGTTTAGTGCTTTCTTTATCTGTTAAGGGGGGGAAGAAAAAAAGCTCTTTGCATTAGGAGCAATAACCTGTCTCCCACAAATTGTAGTCTGTGCTCCCATCTACCACTAAAACCCAAAGCAAACAAAGATTCGTGCAAAGACAGGAAGCGTTTTGGGTGTAATTGCCGGCAGATCTTTGCTTTCACGATTTTTGGTTTCACCCAAAAAGGCAGCCAAGCAGCGCTGCGGTTCACTTGGGTGGATTTATTATGAGCTCTCACTGTGCTCTAATTTGACGCTTCTGGCAGCTCTGTGAGTTTTAAAACATCCTCTGCAAGAGTCTCCTGGCCACGCTAAATGAAAATGTCCCATGGAGGGGGGAGGGAAGGGGCCGGTGCCCGGCAGCACGGGTGAGCTACGCCCTGGCGACAGCCCTGCCTCCAGGCTCCTTTATTTTGGCCTCGAGCCGCCGCTTTTGTAATCCTGCCCTGATCCCTCGCCTTCTGCATGGATCGGAGTTGGAGGACCCTCCAGTTCGACCAGATCGAACTGGGAAGCAGGTCTCTCCCATCATCTGAGCCAAGAGGTGGTGGTGGTAGAGTCAGTTGGCCTTGGCTATATCAGAAGACCTCACCAGTACCAGGACCTGATTTTGGGGCTACTTTGGGGGCTGAAAAAAAAAAATCAAACCTTGAATATGGTCCAGAAAACTATGGAACGGGTCTGGCTCCTGGGGCCCCTGCGTCGAATAGCTGGATGGTGCCACGGTGCAACCCCACGTCGGGGGTGAGGTCTCCCTGTGAAGTCCTTGTGGCTTTTTCTGGTGTGTTTATCTCTTGTTCGTGTGAGTTTACCAAACCGTAATTGGACTGTGATTTAGCATCAGGTCTTTAGGGAAGCTTGTCACAGCGATGCGTAATAGCGTAATAAAAACGTAACTGCTTAGCTTTAATGTGTCAAAATGACTCATTTAAAATATCATATCGGAGATATGAGGGTCTAGAAGATAAGTAAGACTTGCACGGGGAAAGAATATTGAGTAATGGACCCACAGCTATAATTATGGGGGAAAACATGTCTTCCATTTCAGACCTGAGGAAGTGGCTTATCTGCCTGAAAAATTGTTTTTCTCCCCCACGCGCTGAATCAGTTGGTCTGGCAGAAGTCAGCACCTGCCTGGGTAGAGGCATGCGAAGACTTCAGCAACCTGGGAATCCCATGCATCGTGCAAGTTGTGCGATATATAAACTGCTTAAGTATTGATCCTGTTTCCATTTATTTTTTTTTTTTTTAAATAAAGCTTCT